ATCCTGTGCCAGAGTTTGAGCTTCTGAAAAAGAAAACTGGAGCATGGAACAGACTCCTTCTACATATTTGCACTGGGTTAATCCTGGTCAACCTACAGGCCTTTTGCCGGCCCATTAGGCAAGAAAATGGCGCTTATCCTTCCTTTATGGAGGCATTCGAAACACACGGTCAAACCCTCGCAGTAGTAACTTCGCAGTCTGTAGAAGCAAAAGCTATACACCAAGACTCTCCCGGATGCCTGTGTTCCGGACCAGGTCGAGACGTGTAAGGCCAGCGACTCCTCTAAGAAAACCCATTTCAGCAGCTTGTACTCGGCTTCGAAGTTTATCAGTGATGGTCCACGACTCATGACCGTAGGTATGTATGGGGATAAAGATAAACCTGAGTACCGACAGCTAAGCTCTCCTCTGATTTAGTCACAATGGATCAGGCTAATACACGTAGAACGCCATTGGCTACATCGATTCACCGGTCGATCTATTCCTAAAATTTTCCATCACTAGTAAATACCATCCAATGGTTCATGAACTTCTCCACCTGCTCCTCTGTCTATCCAATGGTCTGAAGAGAGCAACGGGCAGAAAAACGAGAAAGCACTGGGCCTTAGATGCGTTCACACGCATGCCCATCACGTCGCATTCTGACGCAAACCTTTCCAAGGAGCACTGACGATCAGTTTCACAAGATGCTAGTAAAACAAGCTCAAACAGCAGCCTTCTCGACTTCACATCTCCTACACCGATACTCTCATCGCCTTCGCAGCTCCTGACCATTCTATCCGTGTACAACACAAACAGGATAGGGGACAGGACGCAGCCTTGGCGGAGACCAGTGCGAACACTGAATGGTTAACTCTGACGCAGCACCTGCTATCAGAATACAGTGATTGAATGGCCCTTAGCAGCTGGCCATCTATCCTGTATGCCCGAAGACATGACCACAGACTACTGCGTGGGATCCGGTCATAGGCTTTATCTAGGTAAAAAAACTCATGCACACCGGACGGGCGTACACGATTTCTCAACATTCTGGCGCAGGTCAAATACATGCTCAGACGTGATTCGACCGGGCCGGAAACCGCACTGCTCTTCTATCGTGAGGTCATTTATTTCGCGGCTCCTCCTTTCTAGCGACATTGCGTGGACTTTACCTCAGAGGCAGAATAACGTTATGCCCCTGTAATTGGAG